CCCGGCCAGTCATCATCGAGTCCGATATGGATTTCGACCCCAAGGAGGAGGAGCCGATAGAGTGAGAGTCTGATCCCGAGCCGGAGCCAATGGAGCTGGAGCCAGAGCCGGAGGATGATCCCGAGGAGGAGCCAATGGAGGCCAAGTCCGAGCCAGAGTCTATGGACTTTGAGTCTGAGTCATCCGATGATTCATCCAAGTCTTCGGGATCCGACCCGGACTGGGTACCATAGGGGTTAGCCTGACCATAGCTAGGGTTTAGCCTTGAACATAGTTAGGTAGGGCCGACACTTTTTGGAATGAGCCCTTTTAGATAGATTACCTAACCGCCCCGAGCCACGTATCCCTTTTTGATGTTAGTGGCTTACTGACCCGTTTTGGTTTATGTATATTTCTGTTAATGGATATTGTAAATTATCTTTATTAATGTAAGTATGTGTTTATGGTATGTGTTGCTACCTTGGTCAGGTTTAATTATGTACTGGTGTATGATTGCTTCCGCATGTGTATTATTCTCTTATTTGGGTTTTGGGTCTGCGACGCATCCTAGGACGTCGCACCAATACGACCAATGAAGGGTGTAACATCCTGAATTCGACCCACTTTCTTGATAAATGAAATGGATATGTATTTCTCATTTCGTTTTAGTAAGTCTCGCCCGGAACTGATCATTCTCGGGATACTGACCGATAGGGAATGGCTAACTAGGAAAATGGTACGCGGACCCAAGAACTCGACCGTGAATCGAGCTCCGATTCCGAGGAACGACGAGGGAATATTTTGGGCCAATGTGGGCCGACCCAAGGAGGGTGATGGATTTGGTTTGGCCAACGACGTACGATAGGATCGCGGGTGATTCCGCACGACCGAGAATACACGTGGCGAACAATCCTGAACTTATTCCGAATGAACGCAACCCCCGAAACTAGCGATAAATCCTCGCGTTCTCTTGGAAATCGAGACCGTCACGACTCGAGTAATCCTAAGTCGATACGCGTAATCCCTAAATAGCCGCCCGTTAGTAAGAGATGCTAAAATCGCATTTGAGCGAAATTGATCGGGAATTGAATCCGGACTTGGGTGTTGAATTTCACGGACGTACGCGGCTATTTGCTAGGACGACATCGTATTAGTGTAACCAATCATATTTGGGATCGGTATGATCGAAAAATAGAATTTCGGACCGGAAGTGAAAAATTACCATTTTGCCCTTGGATCCTAAGCTTTAATTCCGAAAATTGGGGGCTTAATTTTGGTCTAGATCAGCCCCCTAGTGGCCGAAAATCCTTGGACCATAATGCCCCCACCACTCTTGCTCAATCCCCAAAGTCCCCCTAGATATTTTGTGTTAGAACCAATCTTGGCCATTGATCTTGGATGTGAATGATGGGTGCTTGAATTTCAGCCCTTAGATCAATGTGTTAGTGGAGTGGTTAGTTTGGACATTGTGAGTGGAGTGGTTCAACCACTCCCACTCAAGGCTTTGGCTTAAACACTCTCTCAATCTCTCTCTCCTCTCATTCTCTCCCTAACCGGCCACTCCCCTCTCATTCTCGCCACTCTCTCACTCTCCCCTTCTCCCCCTTGCCGAGTGAAGCAGCCTTGCCGGAGCAGCCCAGCAGCGGCCACGCCGCCGCGGCTCGCCGCCCGCCGGGACCGTACGCCGTCACCATCTCGCCTTACCACCACCACTCGACCATCTCTCTCTCTCTCTCTTCCTTCTCATTTCGGCGCCATCACCAGCCCCCACCTTGGCCGTGCATCGCCGTTCGTGCACCGTCGCCGCCGGCCGTGACCGCCTCACGTGCGCCGCCGCGCGCCACCTCAGCCGACCTCGCCTTTCCTTCTGCATTTCCATGACACCACCACCGTCACCAGCAACCCCCCTTAGCCGCCGTGATCAGCCGTGGGCCGCCAACCCACCGTTCGTCGCCGTGAGAGTCGCCGGCATTACTGCTAGTTTTGCCACGAGCCGGTGACCATCCAGCCCGTTCTCCCCCTTGTTCAGCCACTTTTGGAGCTTAAAACCTTGTGAGTGGAAATCCTAATCCTTAATTAGGCTATTGTGCAATTCTAGATAGGTTTAGGGGTTTAATTAGGGTGTTTTAGGGGTTAATTAGTGGATGGTGATTAGGGCTGGTAATGAGGTGATTAAGGTGGCCTAATGTGATGATTTGATGGTGATTTAGTGGCCTAGAGTGGACTGATTAGTGGCTGGTCATTGTGGGATCAATGAATTACCATGTGTGCCTTGATTTGATCATGATGTGGCTAAATTCTAAATGAATTGTGATCAATTATGTGATGCAATGTTAAGTGTTAGTGTGGCCGTGAATTGAGAGGCTTTGTGGGCCATGGACTTGTGCAATTTTAATGGTTTAATTGTGTGATTTACGAGCGCCAATTATGCACCGTGGCTGAATTGATTTAATTGATTAATTGGGCACATTGATATATTAAATTGAGCATGTGGCTAAGTTAAAAATGAATGCTCGATGTGAAATTTATGAATGCCCGAGTTTCGGATGTTATGGCCATGAGTGGTGCACATTAAGCATTGGCATAACATGTGCATCATGTGAGTGTGCACGATTGGCATGAGCATGTGATCGCCTAAATTGCCCTGATACGTTTTACGCAGGGTTCAGATAATAATTGGTGGAATGTGTACGTGTGATCACATAAGCCCTGATGCGTGTTACGAGGGTATTGAACCCGTCCTGAGACGTTTAACGCCGGACGATACCCGGATTATCGGAAGATGGCCAACCTGAGGCGTCGTTCACGCAGGTTGTGTCATGAGCCTGATGCGTTTAACACGGGCCGAAGATTGATGGGAAAGTGACATACCTGATGCATTTAACGCGGGTCGGACCTGATGCGTTTAACGCGGGTCGGTGATTAAATGAAAAATTGGCTCGTGTGCGAAGTGCATATTAATGAGTATGAGCATGTGCATGGCCAGTGATTATGGCCAATTGAGAATGTGTATGTGCCATAATTGATTTACTCGGTGTTACTATTGTGCCTAACCTGTAAGGTCAATGGTATGTTGATTTGGGCCCGAGGGCCTAAGTCGTTTGAATAATGAACTGTATGTTTATGTAGTTGCTTGTTCTAGAGGTGCATGTTAGCCTAGTTTAGGTTTAGGGGGCCTACTCGCTGAGATTTATTCTCATTATTGTTAAAACCCAACATTTCAGACCTCCGACCTTGAGGATGGCAGGCATACCAATACATTTTGGGATCCCGTATTGCATAGAGCGTTCGGTGATCGAGTACCCGGTTGGGGATGGGAAGACTTATGTTAGACATTTTACTACCGTTTGGGTCGACGTGGGCGAGTCGCAGTTCCAGGCTCATCAGTATCTCGGTTGGTGTTTTCGGGACCAGTTCGGTATTTATGGACCCCTTAAGACTTTTGATGTTTCGATAGACGGGCTAGGTCATTGGGATCCACAGACAGCTGATGGGGAGGTGGCCAGCCCCAAAGCCGTGTCCGAGGAGGATTCTGACCCCCGACCAGTCATCTTCGAGATGGATTCCGATCCTGAGGAGGATGAGCCGATGGAGTGGGAGTCCGATCCTGAGCCAGAGCTGATGCAACTGGAGCCAGAGCTAGAGGATGATTTCGAGGAGGAGCCTGTGGAGGCCGAGTCCGAGCCAGATTCTATGGATTCCGAGTTCGGGTCGTCTGACGATTCGTCCGAGTCCTCGAGATCCGACCCGGACTGGTCTCCCTAAGGTTTAGCCTTGACCATAGTTAGGTTTACGGCCGACACTTTTTGGAAGGAGCCCTTCGTAGGTTTAGTACCCTGACCGCCCCGAGCCACATACCCCTTTTTGATGTTAGTGGCTACTGACCCATTTTGGTTTGTGTATATCTTTGTGTATTGAATGTTGTAAATCCCCTGGTATTAATGTAAGTTTGTATTTATGATGTCGTTGCTATCCTTGGTCATGTTTCGTTTATGTATGGGTGTTTATTTGCTTCCGCATGTGTATTATTCTCTGTTCTGGGTTTTAGGTCGGCAATGCGTCCTGGGACATCGCACAAATTCGACCGCGGTAAGGTTGTCGCGTGCTGTAGGGCTCGGGGCGTGACATCCCCCGTTGATTTGGTATCAGAGCAAGGTCAGTTCGATCCAACTCGGTCGAAGTCTGGAGTGATAAGGAGCGATGACATGGGGTAGCTGAATAGGAAGTCTTGTGTTCTACGTGTACCTCCAGACTGTTTGAATTGCATGATTGAGTGATTGTTGTGAATGACCTGTAAAGTGCAGGTGCGGCAGGACCCAAGGTAAGTACGCATATCTCTTGGGTTGAGACTTCATGCTGCTCGTGTTTGACTGCCTGCTGAGTGATTGATTATTGTGATGTTTGCCTAGGACCATAGACTGGTATAGTTTGGCCTAGGTCTCTAATTCCTGAATGAAATTATAGCAAGTAGGTGAGTAGTGAGAAAACCTGTGAGGATGAGCAGTGGAATGGGGATAAGAGGTCAGTGGAGTGCAATGGGCCAAGAAGCGAGAGACCCAAGGCTTGATGAGGTCATTCGGACACTACAGGAGATAGGAAATCTGATGGGAATGCAGGCTCAAGAAAGGGCTGCCAATATTGCCCAAGCTGCTGAGGCCGCAGCAGCTGCTGCTGTTAATAGGAATGAGGCCAATCAGGGGCAGGCTCAGGTAGTTGGGAATAGACAGATACATCAGTTGGTGGAGCAATTTTTGAAGTTGAAACCACCGAAGTTTGAAGGAATAGGGGATCCTGAGGCTACTTCTATATGGGTCGATGAGTTGGAAAAGGCTTTTGCTCTATTAGGGTGCACTGAAGCAGAGAAAGTGAAGCTGGCAGTGTACCAGGTTCAGGGTAATACGAATGACTGGTGGAAGGCCACGCAGGGCCAAGTGTTTCCTACGGGCGTGGATTAGAATTGGACGGCCTTCGTTCAGGCTTCTAACGAGAAGTATTTCTTGGTAAGTGCCCGAGAAAGGAAGATGACAGCTTTGCTTAAACTACGTCAGAACCAGATGACTGTGGATCAGTATGAGGCAAAATTTGCTAGGCTGTCTAAGTTTGCACCAAGGATAGTAGATCATCCTGAGGACAAGGCGCGAAGGTTTCGGGATGGACTGAGAGCCGACATTCGCAGTCAGTTGATACCGGTGAATTTGAGAACTTATGACGAATTATATGAGAGGGCTCAGGCTATCGAGCAGGATATAACAGATAGGGCCGCCGTATCTGGATCACGATTTGCCCCGGCTAAGGAAAACCGCCGCTTCGGGAAGAAGCCGATGGCGGGAAACAGGCATTTTGTCCTTCCCGTAAAGAAGAACATCGGGAAGCCGAACCACCCACAGAACAGGTTTGGGGCATGTTTCAAGTGCGGGAGCATAGACCACCAGATAAGACATTGCCCTCAACAACATCCAGTAGGACCGCCCATCCAACCACAGCAGCCCCGAGCCGGAAATCAGGCAGGAAATCCCCTGCCGGCTATTCAGGGTAGACCGCCAGCGTAAAGAAGGTGTATGCGATGGCGCGAAGGGAGGGTGAGGACACACCAGGCATGGTCACAGGTACGGTCTCTCTCTGTGATCATGCTACGTATGCGTTGTTTGATCCGGGGGCTACCCACTCGTTTATATCAGAGCAATTTGTTAGAATGATTGGAATTGAACCGGTTATGCTTGAGGTTATGCTTTGTGTGACGACCCCATTGAATGATAAGGTGTTAGTCTCGTTAGGGTGTCCTAACTGTAAGATAGTGATTGGGGGTAGAGAGGAAATGATAGACTTGGCAGTATTGACCATGTTCGATTTTGATGTGATTATCGGAATGGATTGGCTAGTTAAGCAGAAAGCCGTGATGGATTGTAGTAGCAGGGTGATCCAATTCAATTCGATTGGACATCCTAAATTTGAGTTTATGGGAAACCGAAGAGGAACCTCGATCCCTTGGATTTCTTCGCTTGAGGTAACCAAGTTGTTAGATGAGGGTTGTGAAGGGTACTTGGTGAATGTGGTTGATCCGACAGTCGCGGAGCCAAAATTGGAAGAGATACCCGTGGTGTGCAATTTTCCCGAAGTCTTTCCTCAGGAATTACCGGGTTTGCCACCCGAAAGAGAAGTGGAGTTCGTAATAGAGTTAGCCCCAGGAACTGAGCCGATCTCAAAGGCACCGTACCGGATGTCCTTGTCAGAATTAAAGGAGTTAAAGGTCCAGATGCAAGAATTATTAGACAAGGGTTTTATCCGCCCAAGTGCGTCTCCTTGGGGAGCGCCGGTATTGTTTGTAAGGAAGAAGGATGGAACCTTGGGGTTGTGTATTGACTACCGGCAGTTGAATCAAGTGACCGTCAAGAATAAGTACCCACTGCCGAGGATTGATGACCTATTCGATCAATTGCAAGGAGCCTCAGTGTTTTCTAAGATCGATCTACAGATGGGGTATCATCAGTTGAGGATTAGGAAAGAGGATATACCTAAGATGGCCTTTAGGATGAGGTATGGGCATTATGAGTTTACAGTGATGCCTTTTGGTTTAACTAATGCCCTAGCTGCCTTTATGGATTTGATGAATCGGGTATTTAAGAAGTTTTTGGATCGGTTTGTCATAGTCTTCATCGATGACATATTGGTATGCTCGAAGAGCCCGGAAAAGCATGAGGTGTATTTAAGTGAAGTACTACGGACCTTAAGAGAACACGCACTCTACGCCAAGTTCAGTATGTGCGAGTTCTGGCTCAACCGAGTGGCGTTTCTTGGACATATAATTTCCGGAGATGAAATCTCTGTGGACCCGACTAAGATTGAGGCAGTGACTAAGTGGCCAAGGCCGACATCAGTAATAGAGATTCGGAGTTTCTTAGGATTGGCAGGATATTACAGGCGTTTCGTAGAAGGATTCTCGTCAATAGCGATGCCGATGACACGGTTGCTCAAGAAAGAAACGAAGTTTGAATGGGACAATAAGTGTGAGAAGAGTTTTCAAGAGCTAAAGCATAGGCTGACGACTGCCCCCGTATTGATTATTCCGTCTGGATCAGGAGGATTTGAGGTTTACAGTGATGCTTCGTTGAGAGGACTTGGGTGTGTATTGATACAACATGGAAGGGTAGTTGCTTATGCGTCGCGTCAGTTGAGACCGCACGAAATGAATTATCCGACTCATGATTTGGAATTGGCTGCGATTATCTTCGCCCTTAAGATTTGGAGGCATTATTTGTTCGGGGAAAAGTTTAAGATTTACACAGACCATCAGAGTCTCAAGTATTTGTTTTCGCAGAAGGAGTTGAATATGAGGCAGCGTCGTTGGATGGAACTTCTCAAGGATTACGACTGAGACATTTTATATCACCCTGGAAAGGCTAATCGTGTGGCGGATGCGCTAAGTCGGAAGTCGAGTATGGTGCACATGATGGTCAAGGAGTGGACTTTATTAGAAATGATAAGAGATTCAGAATTTAAGTTTGAGGTGAGCCATGTGTCGAACCTACTTGCCACGTTGAGAATCGAACCGGAAATACAAATCAAGATTAAGGCTTTTCAGTCTACGGACCAAGAAATTCAGAAGATAGTTGAAATGGACGCCGCCAAGAGAAAATCGGATTTTCAAGTATTCGAGGACGGGATCTTGAAGTTCCGCGGACGATTGTGCGTGCCCGACGATATGGAACTTAAGGAGGAAATTTTGAAGGAAGCTCATCGTAGCAATTATAGCATTCATCCAGGCAGTATAAAGATGTATCAGAACTTGAGGTAACATTACTGGTGGAATGGTATGAAAACGGATATGGCCAAGCATGTGGCGAAATGTTTGACCTGTCAGCAAGTAAAGGCGTAGCATTGTAAGCCTGGAGGACTTCTGCGACCATTGGAAATCCCCGAATGGAAATGGGAACATATCACGATGGATTTTCTCACGGGATTACCAAGGAGTCAGAGAGGACACGATTCGATTTGGGTGATAGTGGACAGACTGATTAAGTCAGCGCACTTTCTGGCAGTGCGAAAGGATTTTGAGTTGGAAAGGTATACAGATTTATATGTTCGACAGATTGTCCGACTTCATGGAGTACTAGTGACGATCACTTCGGACCGTGATCCTCAGTTTATTGCCAATTTTTGGAAAAGTCTGCAAACGGCCTTAGAGACCAAGCTTCAGTTCAGTACGGCCTATCATCCGCAGATGGATGGCCAGTCGGAAAGGACGATCCAGACCTTGGAGGACATGTTGCATGCATGTGTATTGGATTTCCAAGGTAAATGGGAAGAGCAGTTACACCTGGTCGAGTTTACCTACAATAACAGCTACGAGCAGAGTATTCAGATGGCACCGTTTCAGGCATTGTATGGCAGAGCTTGCAGAACGCCAGTGTGTTGGGATGAAGTGGGAGAACGGAGTATAACGGGCCCAGAATTGGTGCAACAGACAGTTGAGGCAGTCGAGGTAATTCGGGAAAGATTAAAGACACAGAGTCGTCAGAAAAGTTATGCCGATCGGAGACGGAGACCTTTGGAATTTCAAGTTGGAGAGCACGTTTTTCTTAAGGTGTCGCCAATGAAAAGATTGTCCCGATTTGGCAAGAAAGGAAAGTTGAGCTCGAGATATATTGGTCCATTCGAAATTTTGGAAAAGATTGGAGATCTGGCCTATCGACTCGCTTTGCCACCTAATTTGTCCTAAGTGCATAGCGTATTCCACGTGTCAATGTTGAGTAAGTATAAGCCGAATCCGACCCACGTGCTGAGATATGAAGAAATAGACGTGGACGACAGGGTGTCGTACGTGGAAAGGCCAGTGAGGATCGAAGATAGGAAGGATCGGGTGCTGCGAAACAAGACGATTCCTATGGTCAAGGTCGTTTGGGAGCATCATGGAACGGAAGGTGCCACCTGGGAAAGTGAAGAAGCGATGCGACGTCAACACCCCCAGTTGTTTGAGTAGATGGGTTTGGATTGTAAATTTCGAGGACGAAATTTTTGTAAGGGGGGAAGAGTTGTAACATCCTGAATTCGACCCACTTTCGTGATCAATGAAATGGATATGTATTTCTCATTTTGTTTTAGTAAGTCTCGCTCGGAACTGATCATTCTCGGGATACTAACCGATAGGGAATGGCTAACTAGGAAAACGGTAAGTGGACCCAAGAACTCGACCGTGAATCGAGCTCCGATTCCGAGGAACGACGAGGGAATATTTTGGGCCAATGTGGGCCGACCCAAGGAGGGTGACGGATTTGGTTTGGCCAACGATGTACGATCGGATCGCGGGTGATTCCGCACGACCGAGAGTACGCGTGGCGAGCAATCCTGAACTTATTCCGAACGATCGCGACTCCCAGAACTAGCGATAAATCCTCGCGTTCTGTAACATCCTGAATTCGACCCACTTTCGTGATCAATGAAATAGATGTTATTTCTCATTTCGTTTTAGTAAGTCTCGCTCGGAACTGATCATTCTCGGGATACTGACCAATAGGGAATGGCTAACTAGGAAAACGATACGTGGACCCAAGAACTCGACCGTGAATCGAGCTCCGATTCCGAAGAACGACGAGGGAATATTTTGGGCCAATGTGGGCCGATCCAAGGAGAGTGACGGATTTGGTTTGTCCAACGACATACGATCGGATCACGGGTGATTCCGCACGACCGAGAGTATGCGTGGTGAACAATCCCGAACTTATTCCGAACAATCGTGACCTCCGGAACTAGCGATAAATTCTCGCGTTCTCTTGGAAATCGAGACCGTCACGACTCGAGTAATCCTAAGTCAATACGCATAACCCCTAAACAGCCACCCGTTAGTAAGAGACGCTAAAATCGCAATTGAGCGAAATTGATCGTCGAATTGAATCCGGACTTGGGTGTCGAATTTCACGGATGCACGCGACTATTTTGCAAGGACGACGTCGTATTAGTGTGGCCAAATATATTTAGGATCGGTGTGAGCGAAAAATGGAAAATTACAGTTTTACCCCTGGACCCCTAAGCTTTAATTCCGAATTTTGGAGGATTAATATTGGACTTGTTCAGCCCATTGGTGACTGAAAATATTGGACAATAATGCCCCCACCACTCTTGCTCATTCCCCAAAGTGCCTTTGGATATTTTGTGTCAGATTGAATCTTGGCCATTGAAAGTGGATTGATTAGATTAGGCTTCAAATATTGGCCATTAGATCAAGTAGATAGTGGGGTGGGTGTGATGGTAATTTTTGGTGGAGTGGTTCAACCACTCCACTCACCCATTTCATCAAAACTCTTGCAATCTCTCTCTTTCCCCTCACTTCTTCATTTTCAGCCGGCCACTCCCCCATTCTCGCCTCACTCTCTCTCCCCTTTCCTTTCCTTGGCCGCGTGAGGAGTCGCCAGAGCAGCCGCCGCCGCTCACGCCGCCTGTCCGCCAGAACCACCGCCACAACCACCCTCATCTTTCCCTCTCCATTTCCGTGACACCACCACCATCACCGTCGCCCCCTTAGTTGTGTGAGATCAGCCGAGAGCTACCAGCCTCG